GTGCAACAATGAATGAATGGAATTCCAAAATCTCTGTAGATGTTCATTGAAATGAAAAATAAACAACCTAAATTTAAAAAAAATGTAAAAAAAAAAGTTAACATTTCACTCACCACGTAATGGAACTACATGAAAAGTGCAACTGCGTTTTCCTTTCTCTCACTGGTGAAAGCTGGTCTGTGATGTGCTCAAAAACAGGGGTTTTTTTCCTCCAGTCTTCTCTCCCTCTCCCTTTTCCTCTCTGTCCTAGCAGAGTAAAAGCACACAGCCAACTTTGACCCATGGAAGTGCTCAAAGGTGAAAAAATGTTAGCTTTGAATTGCTGGGTGATCGATCTCTTACAACCAGCAATAGAAACGGCCATGGTTAATAGAAAGGTCGTGGTGGACCCTTAGGTGGTGGCCCAGATGTGTGCCAATACCTGCCATACCTTCGACACACCTCTGATTTTACCCAAGGGCTCTGTGTAGATGATGGTCAAAACACAGACACAAACATATGTACATACACATCCATGCATGCATGCACATGTGTGGGTTAAACAAGAAACACGTTCTGCAGAGAAAGAAGGACCTCATTGAAGGAGAGCAGAGCTTACCAGCTGTACTTGTCTTAAAAACTCAATGAAGGCATCACTTCTCAACACGTTTGGGTCCAAGGATACTGAAAAAACATGGAGAGCACGCTAAGTCAGCAGACGGGGTCTTCATCATCAAATGGCTCTATCTCCCAGGATCCCCCTGCCTTGCCAGGGTTCTACTGTCTCTGTGAAGGTGGTGCAGCTGGTGACCTGTCATCAACACGGCCTCCTCTGGCAGCCTTGACCACCCCAGCCACTGTCACATCAACACATCAATCCAGCATGAGAACGCTCGCAGCAGTGTCACTTCACTCACAGACACTATTCTCAATATCCATCTCTCCCCACTTCTGGGGGTGATGACGATATTAAAAGGAGGCAGCAAAACTATCTGAAAATGTGGATCTGGATTCCCAGCTTAGCAAGACAACTGGTCACTTGAAAAATTTAAATCAACCAAGAAACATTGAAAGCATTTCTTTTATGAGAGGTAACAATCTGAACCATCATGATTACTTTAAAAAGTCCAGATGTTAAAGGCAAACTTCTGTAAGACATGAGAAGACAACCCAAGAGAGAATTCAGATGCAAAACGTGCATTTTGAGCTAGAAAGGGCTCATCCAAGGGATTATAAAGAAGCACGTTCTCCATTACAGAGAATGAAGAGGCATTAAATGTCTTCTAGAAATCTTAATTTACTTTGTGGTATGAATCATTCACTCATTCACCACTCGCCTCCAGTTTGGTTCTGACTCATAGCTGGTCCTCCAGGGGGTTTCTGAGGCCCTACGCCATACAGGAGGAGACTCTTCAGCTTTCTCTTTCTCAAGCCACTAGTGTAATCAAAAGTGCCAAAGAAGCACGTGTTTAGGTTAGTTATGTATCGTCTGGGTTGATCATGTATCTTGCTATGGGCTACCCCTCCAGAACTCCATATTCTTGTTGTTAGGTGCCATCAAGTACAACTCCTGGCAAAATTTTGAACAACAGATCTGAATCCTGTCCTATCCTGTGCCATCCTCGCCATCTCTGACACACTTGAGCCCACTGCTGCATATAGATGTATAGACATAATCCAAAAGATTAGCTAGAAAAGGCAGTGAGCATATACTAACAGAGGAGTAAAAATTCTGGAAAGGAAGATAAGAAAGGTTGTACAACTGGAAGAATGAAATCATTGTTACAGAATTGCAGAGGCACAAATTGGTGTATGATTTTCTGTGTATACTTTCAACAGCAGACTAAGTTTAAATATCACAGAAAGAGTCCTGGTGGGATCGTGCATTATGTGTTGGGCTGCTGAACATAAGAGTAACAGATTGGATCCACCAGGTACTCAGGGACAAAGACACAGAGAACTCCTATAGAGTTCTATGTGTGTCTAGCTCAAGAAACCTGATGGAGGGCCACCATGCGTCAGAACAGACTCCAGTGGCAGTCGGTTTGGCATATGCGTACATCAGTGGAAAATAATAAGGTAAATCTGTAATTGCTGATCTCTAAGATACATTTTTGAAGAAGGGGGGAAAAATCAACACATAAAACAAAGAACTTTCCTTTAGCTATGAAAGGCATTAGTAGGATAGTTGGTAAAGTTTGAATAAGGTCTATAGATTAGGTAACATTCGGGGTTATTTTATACTCACTTTTTAAATGAATGATTATTTAATGCAACATATCTTTTTTTATAGTATATTCTTTCCATTTCATTTTCCCCATTCATTCATTGTTGCATTTACCTCCCTACCCATCCCTCCTCCCAGTTTGTTTTTCTCTTTGAAAAGAAAAAAAAATTCTTTCATTGTTATACAATAGCCCCTAAGTCCACAGTCCACTTTACTATGCATTTCTTTTTCTGTAATCTTGTCATGAAAATAATACCTAATCATATATTCCTTTTAAACAGTTCTCTCCCTCATCTGTTTCAATGCAGTATGCTTTATTTAGCCCCTCTTTTCTTAGGTTCCTCTCAATCCTGATGCCAGTGCCACTACGCAATATTTGTCCTTTTGTGACTGAGATATTTCAGTCAACATAATGTCCTCCAGGGTCACCCATTTTGTATAATATTTCATGAGTTCCTTGTTTTTCAACACTGCATAGTATTCCATTGTGTGAATATACCAGAGCTTCTCTATCCATTCGTTTGTTGGTGGGCACTTAGGTGGTTTCCAGCTCTTTGCTATTGTGAACAAAGCAGCAATAAACCTGAGTGTGCATATATCTGCTTGGGTGGCAGTTATGATTTCTTTAGAGTAAATTCCCAGTAGTGGAATTTCTGGGTCAAATGGTATCTCTATTTGCAACTTTTTGAGAGAGCGCCATATAGCCTTCCATAATGGTTGCACCATTTTACACTCTCACCAATAGTGAACAAGAGTTCCAGTTTCTCCACAACCTCACCAGCATTTGATGTTTGCTGCTCTGTTGAATTTTGCTATTCTTACTAGGATGAGATGATATAGTTGTTAGATAACATTCTTGTACAACGTGAATTTGATTATTTTTATAACCACACTGTGGTTATGTAAGAAAATGTCCTTGATCTTAGTCAGTGCACACAAAAAGTATTTAAGGGGAACACAATTAAGCACTAAAAATCCTCCGAAACTCCACAAAACAAAACTAACAAATATTGTAGATTTGCTTTCATAATGATTTTGACTCATAATGACCTTAATGTGACAGAGTAGAATTGTCTGTATGGTTTTCTAGCTATGATCTTGATAGCTGTGAATCTTTCTCCCATGAAACTACTGGGTAAATTAAAAATTACAATCTTTTGGTTAACAGCTGCACTTAATGTTGTGCATTTGAGTTTCTATAACTACCTACACACACAAACATATGGTTGTGCAACGCCTTAGGTATGTAACAGGTCCTATAAATGGGATGTTATGATTTGGACATTGTGTGAACACCGTAGTACATCTAATTCTATCCTCACTCTGTCTTTAAGTTGACTTTATACATAAATTGAAATAGATATGGTTCACATCTAAAGTCACTTAGTCAAAAGTTTATCTTAGTAAAGAGCACATACTGTATCTCTCTAAGGAAGGGATCTCTGATTGCCTAGTGAGTCAGGAGTACTGCCAGCCCAGAGACAGTTTGAATCTATGAGCTGTTCCATGGGACAAAGATGAGTAATCTTCTCCCGTGTCATTTACAACTTCTGAAAAGCCATTGGATGATCAGTTATGGGTTGGTTCCTACTTGACCAGTGAGAGAATCAGAAATGCTCCGATCCATATAAACAAAAAGTAAGTAGTGGTTGCCAGAGGCTGACGTGGAAGGGGAACTGTTGTTGGTGTGTCCCTTCAAGTTGGAACTGATCCCTAGCTGACCCTCCAGAGGTTTTCTGAGACAGTAAATCATATGAAAGTTCACTCATATCTTTCTCCCGCAGAACAGCTTAAGGATTAGAACCACATACCTTCGCACTGGCAGTGCGGTTTCTTACCACTAAGCCAATAGAGCTAACAGGGTATATGGGGATAAGGTTCTTTTTGGGGAGGTGACTATGTTCTAAAACTAGACTGCACAAGTCTATATATACTAAGCCAACTGAATTATATACCCTTTAAATAGGTGAATTTTCTCACATGCAACATGTTTCAATAAACTAAAAAATAAATAAATAAATACCAAATACATACGATTTTGCAAATACCGTTCCAACTGGTTCCTCCTCTCATCAGCCATTGAAGTGGTCATTGCGAGATAGTACTTTGGTGGGAAAGGAGGCAAGCCATCTCCAAAGACCCGTCTCAGCTAAAAGATACAGAAAACACACAGCAAAGTGAATGAGCCCCCAGTGCAAATCCTCCTCTTAAGATAAGTCCAACTCTAATTCTCCATTATAAAGTAGTCCTTCCTATGGTCCAAAGGGAGCTCTGCTGGTATGGTGCATAGCAAGCTTTGCTGCTCACTCAGAGCTCGATGTCTAGCTGTTCGAATCCACCAGCAGCTTAGCTAGGGGAAAATGGGCAAGCCCCTCTCATGCAATTTACAGCTTCGGAAACTCAACAGAGCTTTTACTATGAGTCAGTTCTAA